TCACAATCCTATATTTCAAACTATACTACAAAGCCATAATTATTAAACCAGCATGGGACTGGAACAAAAAAACAGACACAGACCAATGGAATTGAATAGAAAACCCAGAAATAAAGCCACACATATCTGGACAACCATCTTTGACAAAGGAACAAAGAATATGAAATGGAACAAGGACAGTTTGTTCAATAAATGGTGCTATGAAAACTGGATCAACACATGCAAAAAATGAAACTGGACTACTACTTCATGTCATGCACAAAAACCAACTCAAAATGCCTAAAAGAAGTGAACATAAAACTTGAGACCATAAAATATATAAAGAAAAATATTGGTAAAGCACTATATGACATACATCTCAGTAACATCTTTTTTTTTAATAAATTTTATTTTTATATTCCCCATATAATTGCAACCCCCTTATTTTGACCCCAATCCCTCCCTTCCCCACCCCCCAACCCCCACAGAGTATATCTTGTTCATAGTTATTTGTTTATTTTGATATTTTCTTTCTTGTAGTTGTTCTTTTTCCTGGTCCCTTATTTAAGTTTTCTAGTTTCCTGCTATGAGTGAGACCATCCGGTATTTTTCTTTTACTTTCTGGCTTATTTCGCTGAGCATGATCCCTTCCAGCGCCATCCATGTTGCTGCAAATTGCATGTGTTTACCTTTTTTGAATGCTGAGTAATATTTCATGGTGTATATGTACCACATCTTCTTGATCCAGTCATCTATTTTGGGGCATTTGGGTTGTTTCCAAAGCTAAGCTATTGTAAACAGTGCTGCTATAATGCAATGAAAGTGAAGGAAAAGATAAACAGCTGGGATTGCATCAAACTAAAAAGCTTCTGTACATCAAAAGAGACATTAACCAAAACAAAGAGATATCTTGCTGATTAGGAGAAACTTTTTGCACACAATACAACTGATAAGGGACTCATTTCAAAGATCTATAAAAAGCTGACAAGACTTTACAAAAAAAGTAAACAATCCAGTCAAATAACAGTCAGAAGAGCTAAAAAGATATTTCCCAAAGAGGAAATGCAAATGGCCAACAGGTATAAGAAACAAAAAAGTTCAACATCACTTATAATCAGGGAAGTGTAAATCAAAAACATAACACCTGGGCCTCCCCTGGTGGCGCAGTGGTTGAGCGCTGGGCTGCAAAGCTGCCCGCAGCCTCTGCAGTGCCAGTTCGATCCCCAGCCACCGGTGAGGGTCCCACATGGCGCGCAGACCTCTCCTGCCGCCCGCTGCTCCCCTCAGCAGTGTGTTTTGTCTGCCTGTTCTGTTCCCCGCTCTGGCTCTGGTGAATTCTCTCACCCTCCTGTGCTTCTGACTGTACCCAGTGCTTGTATAAATAAATAAATAAATATTAAAAAAAAAAAAACAAACACTTTACACCAGTGACAATAGGGCATAATAAACAAACAAAAAAACTAACAAAAAACTAGCAACAACAAATATTGGTGAGGATGGGAGAAAAAGGAAATTTCCTACACTGCTGGTAGGAATGCAAACTGGTCCAACCACTATGGAAAGACGTGGGGAGGTTCCTCAAACTACTAAAAATGGAGCAATGACCTAGCAATTCCACTTCTAGGAATCTATCCAAGGAACACAAAAGCATTAATTCAAAAAGATACCTGCCCCATATGTTTATTTCAGCACTGTTTACAATAAGTAAGGTATGGAAACAACCCAAAAGCCAAAATATAGATGACTGAATCAAGAAGATGTGGTATATATACACAATGGAATGCTGTTCACAATCAAAAAAAAGATAAACTCATGCCATTCTCAGCAACATGGATGGAGCTTGAGGGCATTATGCTCAGTGAAATAAGCCAGAAGGAAAAAGAATACTTTCGAATGATTTCACAACTAGGATGAATATAGGGGAACCAAATATGGGATGAGGAAAAAAATTAATAATCAGTTAATAAACAAAATTAACAGGCAACTATAAATCAGAGACATTCTGCAGGGGAGGGGAGGGAAAGGGATTAAAACAGTGTAGGGAAGAGCACAAGGGGCTATGGTGATGGTGCACAGGTGAATTGGTGGTGAGAATTTTACAGAGTCTACAGCTGAGAGGCAAAAGCATACATTGTACAAAAAATGAAGTCTTGGTTCTCCCCCGTGGTGCAGCAGATTGAGTGCAGTGCTGTGAAGCTGTCCACAGCCTCAGAAGCATGGGTTCAATCCCCAGCCAGGGAGATACCCACAAGGCGCAGCAGACTTCTGTCTCATCCGCTGCTCCCCTCAAGCATGCTTTTGATCATTCTGCCTATTCTGTATCCCACTCCATCTTTGGTGAATCCTTTCACCCTTCCTCACCTCTGGCCTGTGCCCCAGCTCTTGTATAAGTAAATAAATATTTAAAAAAATGAACATGTTGTAAAATATAATTAATTAATTAATTAATTAAAATGTATCACTTCTTTCAAAAAATACTCATAAAAGTTATTAATCACTTAGGAGAGTAGGTGAATGAATGGCAGTCAATCTGGAAAAAAAAAATATCTGGCAATGTTGCTATTCTTCTTCCCAAGTAAGATATGTGATAAAGTTGGGTACTGTTCTTGGGAAGGAAACTTTCCTGATATGTAAAAGACTGCATCCTAGGCTCTTTTCAGGGCTCATCAGTTACAATTTGGCACAGACCTCACTTGGGTATGGCTTTCAGAAGAGGCCTTAGGGATATTGGGTTTTTGGCACTTTTTTTTTAATCTTCCTCTGAATTTTTTAGTGATAATTTGATAAAGCTCAAAATATGTTGCCAGCTATATTTTGAAAAATAACTATAGTACAATGTCTAATAAAATTATGAGTACATAAAGAAAATTCTAACTGAATCGCGCGCTAGTGGAAAGATGTCCTTGAAGAGAAGAAACTCTTGAGAACTGATGCACAGAATAGAAAATGAAGGTCATAACAACAACCTCTCTTCCTGGAACATCTGAGATAAAAGGAGAGGACCCAGCATTCCAAAATCAAATTAGAGTGTGTCAGCCTTACCAGATAATAACCAATGAATCAATATCTAAAATAATCAACTGTAAATGGATTGATAAAATCTATAAATCAATGAGCAACAGTGAATCAGCCCAAAAAATGATCCAAAAAGGTCTATGTAAAAGTACACAAGAGCAACTAGAAGAAAAACACAATTTCATAAAAATAAAATGAGAAAGGTGAAAATTCCTAGTTGTGAGTGATCTAGAGGCACAAGGAAACTTAGATGTCAGTGTTCAAGAGGCTTGGAGAGTTGGATAAGCAGGATAGTCATATGGACAGAGCCCTTAAAGGGAGGTTACTACACAGTCATTTATGTAAACATAAGTCTTGTCAGCAAACATGGTAAGGATGTGACTTCAGACATCAATAAATATTTAGAAATTGATGTATCAGTAGCAGCAGAGAAAATCCAGAAAATAATAGCCTAAAATTCATTAGAATTTTTAGAAGAATTAAAAGGGATAATGTATAGAAAATACTCAGAACATATTTGAATTATGTAAGTTAGTGAGCCTAGCAGAGACCACGATGTTTGCTTTTTGGTTTGTGGTTTTGTTGTTGTTCTTTTAATTGAATAATAGTTAATGGTTATTATGTGCATTGCTTGTGAATAGAAAAGTCAATTTTCTTTCCCTTTGCCAATGAGTAGATAGGCCAGCTACACTGCAAGACTTGTGATTCACTCACTCATCCGCTGGGACAAAGTTTAGTCTACCGCAGAAAGACCTTATGTGAAAAATCTCAGGCAGCAAGGGGCATCCAAAGGCATATAAGTGGGGTTGTCTGAAGACAGACTGGGTTCCAAAAGTGAGTAAGGGTTTCGAGAGAATTGAAGAGGATCATCAACTCAGCAGGACCCAGGGAAGTCAATGCTGTGGCCACCATCTGGAAAGTAGTAGCGTAAGAGAGGAAAATGGGGGCCTCCCTGGAGGTGCAGTGGTTAGTCTCAGCTCTGTCAAGCTATGGCCAGTCACTGTGGCAGGAATTCAATCCTGGACCAGAGAGCTAACCCACATGACACAGCAGACCTCTCTTGTCTCTCCCACTGCTCCCCTCTGCAGTATTTTTCAGAAGATCTCCTGTTCTGTTCCCTACTCTGTCACTGGTGAATCTTCTCACCCCCTGCTTCTCTGGCCTAGACCCCATTGCTTGTATGCATAAATAAATAAATAAATAAATAAATAAATAAATAAATAAATAAATAAATAAATCTAAAAAAAAAAAAGAGGAAAATGGGTCAGTGGCCACTTCTAAACAGCAGAAACATTGACAGGAGTTCTAAAATATCAATCACCAAGTGGCTAAATAAGAGTCTTCCAAGGATGATAATGGCTACAAGCAGAGCTGTTGGTGTTCAAGCTTTCAGGAAGCCCTGACAGGTAGCTGACTGTGCATCTCAATGAGATCTGATCCCCTCAAAGTCATAGTGAGAGACTGCATATAGAAGAAAGTCTGTACTGAGTAAGTTAGCTCATCAGGAGTGAACTGATTGAAGATTTCTCAGATATGACAATGAGAATCACTGGTAAGAGATTAAACGCAGGATGATACCCTAGAATTCAGACCAGGAAAACTCTCCTGTAAGTTTCAGATAATAATTAATTTAGACTTTAAGATCTTTGTAAGGTTCTGTTGTAGCTATTCAGTTCTGCAGTTGTACTGCCAAAGTCGCATCAGAAAATAGAAAACAAAAAAAGTGGATGTGACAGTGTTCCAATTAAACTTTACTTGTAAATTCAAGTTGTAAGCTGAATTTTGCTTGTTTGCACATGTGTGAGATGAGACTTTTCATTTTAAACAAACTTTTATTTGTGTTAATAATAAAAAAATACCATTGTTCAAAATTCAGGAAAAGCAGGAAAGTGTAAAAAATATTTTAAATCACCTACGTATCACTCAAGGGAGTCACTAATAATTTTTATATGTATTACACCCAGTATTTTTGCCATTTTTATATGAAATTAAAATAGTTTTTCTTCTTAAATATGGAATGCTTCACATATTTTCATGTGATCCTTGCACAAAGACATGAAGAGCTAATCTTCTTTGTGTCTTTACAATTTTTGTGTTTATGCTGCCAAAGTAAGCACCAAAATTGAATTCTTAATGTATGAATGATCCTGATTATAGATTTTTTCACTGGAAATTATATGTATAATCTCATTAAAAATTCCTCACAAATGGATGTATCAGTTTTTGTTTAACTCAATACATAAACTCAATGAAGAGGTTGTTTCTTAAATATCAGATGGTTTCACTTATAGGAGGAATATAGGGAAACCAAATAAGGAATCAGGATAATAATAATAATACATAAAGAAACAAAACTAGCAGGCAACTATATATCAGAGATTCTGCAGGGGAGTGGGAGAGGGAGAGACAGGGATTGAAACGGGGCAGGATGAACACAAGGGACGATGCAATGGTTCATGAGTGATGTGGTCATGGGAATTTTATGGGGACTATACCTGAAAGGAGAAAGCAAATATTGTACGAAAATGAACAATGATATAAAACATTTATATAAAAATATATTTTTAAAAAGAGGTTGTTTCTAAAGTTTTGTTATTATAATTTCATAATACCTAAGTCTATTTACCCACACATTTATTTACCGACAAATTTTTAATACATAAATCTTTCTCCAAGTGTCTTATCATTTATTCCTAATCTATTACTTGAAGCAGAATCTGAATAGAGAACCCAGACTCTGTCCTTTGGAGCATAAAGAGAAACCAAAGGAAATGTATATTTTTAATAATATTTACCATCCAGCTATTCATAAGACAGAATAAAGAATAATAAAATACATATTTTTGCAATTGAAAATAACTATTATTACTGTAAATGATAATTCTATTACTATGAGAATTTTAACCAAGATATTATGGCATGGTCAATGATAAGAGTCCATAACAAGTTTAAACTATTCAACTTTAATAGCTGATTTTGATTTTTATTATTTTTTTTAAATATTTATTTATTTATTTATTTACACAAGCTCTGGGTACAGTCAGAAGTGCGGGAGGGTGAGAGAATTAACCAGAGCCAGAGTAGGGAACAGAATAGGCAGACAGACGAAATACACTGCTGAGGGGAGCAGCGGGTGAGACAGGAGAGGTCTGGTGGCACAGGCAGTTGAGCACCACACTGTGAAGCTATCTACAGCCTCTGCAACACTGGCTGGATACCCGGTGGGCCGGCGAGGGTCCCATAAGGCACTGCAGACCTCTCCTGTCGCGCCAGCTGCTCCCCTCAGCAGTGTATTTCAGTAGTCTGCCTGTTCTGTTCCCCACTCTGTCTCTGGTGAATCCTCTCACCCTCCCGCACATCTGGCCTGTACCCAGGTTCTTGTATAAAAATAAATAAAATAATTTTTCCTTACTAAACCTAACCAGCTTTTTTTTTTTTGGTGGGACCCTCAAAGGCGGCCTGGAAACGAACCGGTGCTTCTGAGGCTGCAGGCAGCCTCGCAGACCAGCGTTCAACCGCTGCGCCACCAGGAGAGGCCCCTAACCAGATTTTGTAGACAGAATTTGTGCTATCATTGTGGCCTGAAAAACTCAAATAAAAAATTTAGCTTACTGTAGTCTTGGCTTGGAAGTATAAAATAAATAAGAGCAGTAAATATATGAGTAAATATCATTTTAATATTTACTATTTTTTAAATATGAGTTAATTAGAGATTTTAAAAAGCTATAAGACATACAAGGAAACAAGGATCTGTGAATACTAACAAAGAAGAAAAGACATGCAATGCAGTTATTAGAAATAACAGAGACAGGGCCTCCCCGGTGGCGCAGCGGTTGGGCGCTGGGTTGCAAAGCTGCCTGCAGCCTCTGCGACGCCAATCAGATCCCCGGCTGCTCCCTGGTCACCGGAGGAGGGTCCCACATGGCGCGCAGACCTCTCCTGCCGCCCGCTGCTCCCCTCAGCAGTGTACTTCGGTCCCTCTGCCTGCTCTGCTCCCGGCTCTGGCTCTGGTGAGTTCTCTCACCCTCCCGCGCTTCTGGCTGTACCCAGTGCATGTATAAACAAAACAAACAAATAAATAAATAAATAAAACATGCCTCTATAAAATTAAAAAAAAAAAAAAGAGAAATAACAGAGACAGTATAGAAAGTATATGTAACATACATCCCAAAACAAAAACAATACTTTAAAATATAAAAAAGAGCAGGGGATCCTGTACATTTTGAGGGAAAATAATAGAACTGTTCAAAATTGAGAAAAAAAATAAGAGTGGAGATTTGTTGAAGATTAAAGAGAAGATTAAACAGGAGTAAAGGGGCCTCCCCTGGTGGCCCAGCGCTTGAACGTCGGGCTGCGAAGCTGCCCGCAGCCTCTGCAGTGCTGCGTAGATCCCCAACCACCTGCGAGGGTCCCACATGGCTGGACAGACCTCTCCTGCCCGTGCCCGCTACTCCCCTCAGCAGTGTATTTCATCATGTCTGCCTGTTCTGTTCCCCGCTCTGGCTCTGGTGAATTCTCTCACCCTCCCGTGCTTCTGACTGTACCCAGCGCTTGCATTAATAAATAAATAAATCTTTAAAAATAAATAAATAAATAAACATGAGTAAAGATTAAATTTGTAAATGGAGATATAGATTATGGAAAAGGAGAAGAGCCCAAACTATTTAAGATAAAAAGAAGTTAATACATGTCAAGAAGTATTTATTAGAATTAAAAAAGATGAATTAGGATTATGCAAGAAGCAATGACTGTTAAGATAACGGTGGGAAATTGAGAGAATGATCAAAAATCCCAATCCTCTGAATCAGAATCACAGTGAATCATGAAATCAACTGTAGAAACAAGGCACTTTTATAAAAAAGAGTTTTTCATAATGAAATACTAAAATAATTTTCAAAGATTAAAGTGGTAGCAAAGATTAATAATCTATACTGAAAAATCAGAGAAGAAGACAATCAGATGAGCAACTATTTCTCAATTGATTATATAGGTCAATAATATTATTGCTTAATTTATGGAGTTAAGCAAAATAAGATAAAACCAAACTACTGATCAAAATAGCATAAAAGTTGAAAAGGAAATGACCCAAGTAAGAGCAGTCGTCATTTCTAATTTGTTCATGAAATTTAGGAACATAATGACTAATATTAAATAACCCCCCCAAAAAAAGAAAAATTCAGTCTAAAGGATAAATAGCAAAATGATGAAATAAAATGATAAAAACCCACATGGCGCGCAGAACTCTCCTGCCGCCTACTGCTCCCCTCAGCAGTGTATTTCTTCGTCAGTCTGCCTGTTCTGCTCTCCGCTCTGGCTCTAGTGAATTCTCTCACCCTCCTGCGCTTCTGACTGTACCCAGTGCTTGTATAAATAAATAAATAAATCTTTAAAAAAAATTGAATCTATAAAAATTTAAGAACTGTAAAAGGTTTAGAGATCCTTAAAAAGTGGTAGATTTTCATTCAGGATTAAAAAATAGATAGATTTAAAATTCAAAGATAGATAAAAATTACTGTATATGTTAACCTAAAGAAAACTGGTATTATTATATATGGGAAAATAAGCTTTTGGTAAAGAGCATTTGTAGAGACAATGAAGTTTACTACATACTAAATAAAAAGTACAAATTTAACAATAATAATAATTTTAATTGTGAATTTACCTAATAATATAACCTCATTGTAATCAGAAACAGTTCATACCAATAAGATAAAAAAGGCGATAAACTTTACCAAGTTTGTTTTTTTTTTTTAATTTTGCTCATCAAAAGATATAATTGAGAAAAAGAATTTACAGAGCCAAAGTTAGGGGGGAAATATTAACTGAAAGAAAAAATTAATAGAACAAAAAAACTAGTGTACATTATTTATAATCTTACAACTTAATATTGAAAGGAAGATTTCTGATTAAAAATGAGCAAAAGATTTGAGCAGTCTTTTCACAAAGGATAATATATGAATGTCCATATGAACATGAAACTGTTCACCATCATTAGTTATCAAAAAAATAATAATAATTAGGGGTCTCCCTGGTGGCACAGGGGTTAAACTCTCAGGGCTATCAAACGATCATTGTCAACTGTGGCCAAGTTCAATCCCTGGCCAAGGAGATAATTACCACATGGTGCAGCAGACCTCTCCTTTCTCGCATGCTGCTCCCCTCAGAAGTGTGTTTCAGTAGATCTGCCTGTTCTGCTCCCCACTCTGTCTCTGGTGAATCCTCTCACCCCACCCCACACCAGTTCTTGTATGCCTAAGTAAATAAAATAAATATTTAAATAATAATTGTTATTATTAAAATTAAAGCTATTCATCACTATAAAACCAACATAATAGTTAAAATTTAAGAATGAAAAGTATATAATGCTGCTGAAGATCTGGAGGTCTAGAATTCTCACCTATTGCCGAGCGGAACATAAAATGGTGCAACAACTCTGGTAAAAGGATTTGCTGTATTTTATAAAATCAAACATATATCTATCATATAATCTAATAATTCTACTCTTAGGTATGTCTTCCCAAAAAAAAATAGGCTATACTAGAATATTCTTAGTAACTTAGCTGTGGAATGCAACATGGTTCAACCTGACTTCACCAAAAGTCAGCGATATAACTCACTTCACAGATGTCAAGTGTTTATACCACAATAAAATAAAATAATTTTTAAAAGAAAAGATTGTTTAAGAGTAACAAGTCATTGGAAAATTTAAGTCGATGGAAAATTTGGAGTTAGGCCTACTACTGGTATATTGGGGGTGGACTGGCATAAATCCAGTGTGGAGTGACAGACCTCCACTCACATCTTCCGGAAGAAGAGCTGCATGGCACTGGCACTTGTGAGGCCAGAGATAAGCCACTCAGACTATGAAAGTGGTATTAGAACAAAAAGTGAAATAGCTACTTTAATGTTATGCTTCAATAGACTAAGAATAATTGCAGAAATTGAAAGATGGGAGGAAAGAGTTGAGCATTTATCTTCTAATTTAAAATTTAAAAGGGTAGAGAGAATTATGTGGAACTTGCATATTTGAAGATTGAGATGATTCTGTCTTCATTCTTTTCCATGAAAATCAATGAACAGAAGCTCAGTTCTCCCCACATGGTCCTATTAACAAGGA